ACCCACCCATCGCAGATCCGAGAGCCGTGGCACACTACAGCCGATCCACGGCGTGGCGCGAACTTGTTCAAAAATAAGATTATTTACTTATGTTAGTGAAATAGCGTAAGTTATTTCATTTACCCTTTTCCAGGCCCGGAACTGCAGTTAGGCACTTCGTTTGCCCTCCTGATGGTGTCTGTACCTGATTTAGCTCTTATTTCAACAATTGCCACTAAATGTAATAACATAATGTAATTAACTACTTTACTCATTTTATTTACTAAAATAGATAAATTAGGTTCGGACAAACGAGCTTCGGACAATCGGGGCGCCCCCATTGCGACGACGGCCATTCTGTCCCGTCGATTGCTTTTTTAATCTTCGCTCTGTCCAGTGTCACGCGCTCCGCTCATACATACAACCTAACTGTACCCCCCCCCCTTCCTCCTTCTATTTTCTTCTCCCGCCGGCCTCCCCGAGAGATTACTGTTTTCGCGGAGGCGTTTTGTCGTGATGCAATTGGCCGAGTGCGTATCGCAACACACGGCGTACAGTGCAAACCGCGTGCTCGCTCCAGCGCTTTTAGAGTAAAGCCGAGAGATCGAGTGTTTTGGAACTTATTGGGTGTTAAAAGACAGTAGCAAGAAGTCTCTTATGCTGTCGTCCTTTATTAGGATTGTCGAGCCGTCAGGCGCAGGCTCATTGCAACATTATCAACACGACTTTGTACATCATAACTGCACATTTCTACTGATAACAAAAAGCGGTCCAGCCGGGTTGGCTGTGACCTCAAGTCTTTGATAGTCAAATTAGACAGGCGAGATCATATACAATTTGCGCCTGAGCCACAGTGCGGTCTAGTAAGGTCAATAACAATAAAAATTTGTAGCACAAGAAAAAATATACATTTTCGTAATATCAATTAAAACCGGTATCGTGCTGGTCTGGTGCGACGTTCAACGCGTGGTATATACTTAACTCATTATAAATCTATGTTCATTCATAAAATATATGTACATTAATTGGATTTTAGAATTTTAACAATCTTTAAATATACTCTGCAGAAAATATTTAAATTACCTTTTCAATGCAATTTACAACAACAGTAGACAAATTACTAACAAAATATACAACATTTGAAACACATTTAATTCCTTGGTTTTTGGAACATGAAATCGGGCACACCGCAAACTCTTGGGTAGTAATCTATTTACATGTATGTTGGATGTCATAATATGTACAAAGACATACGCATGAAATGATGAATTGAGTATGGAAGACATCAGGGTCAATACTTTGATCATTATCACTTGAAAAAAAATGTGTCGCATTGTTCAAAAAATCACATATACATGATCACAAAAGCCTAAACATTCCCAACACATATAAAAACGTGACGTTAACGTTTTTGTTGTTTTTTGTTTTGCTTTTTACATTGAGCAGTCCAGCACCTGAAACCAGGCGACTAGGTTCGACGCATAACCCCATGACCTCAACTTCAAGGCAGCACTAGAGAAACGAGAGGGAAATCAGTCTTCAAAATGGAAAAACTCTAGAGGGATCCCTTTGCCAGACATAGGCCAAACCAAGAGTTGAGCTTGCTTGGCAACGCAAGCGACTTTTTGGTACGCGGCCGGGCTTGCACACTTCGCGGTGTGGCCAACTAAGAGGTAGGGGGCGGCGCACTTCAGGCCGTCCAAACACCGGATATGTATCACAATTATGTACACTGGACTGGGAAGGGAAAGGCAGCGGGATCGTTTTAAAATAAATATCGCAGTTCAAGAGGTTTTAAATAAAAGCAGTAGTAGTTATGACGGAATAATAAAAATAATAACAATAGTAATAATTCTTCATCTTAATATACACGAGATCACTTTATCAGCTGCTATAGCACGTCTTCCGCACGTCCGCCAGGATGACGCTGAATTCCTCGTCAGGCTTTTGCCCCTGAATGGGGTGCTGCTGCTGAGGCGCCAGAGACTGGTCGTACAAGACTGGGCAGTGCTGCTGCTGCTGTTGCTGCTGCTGCTGTTGTTGCTGCTGCTGTTGTTGCTGCTGCTGTTGCTGCTGTTGATGTTGTTGTTGCGGCTGCTGTTGCTGCTGCTGGTGGTCGTAAGGACTGGAGAGGTGGTGCAGTGGGCCCCCGCCGGGCTCCGTCTTGATGTAGACCCCGTAGCCGTCCGTGTGCGACATGATTCCGTGCTGCAGCCCAAGATGTTGTTGCTGTTGCTGCTGCTGCTGCTGCTGCTGCTGCAGGTGGTGGTGGTAGTACAGCTGCTGCTGGTCGAGCTGGGAGTGGTGGTGGTGGTAGTTGTGGTTAGAGTCCATAGGAGGCATGTGTGTCGCCTGATGCTGCTGCTGGTGGTTGTGGAGCTGGGCCGAATACTTGAGGTACTTCTCGAAGTCCGAGTCGGTCACCTCGTCCTCGTGCTGCTGCTGTTGCGGCTGTTGCTGCTGCGCCGAGGGCTGTTGTTGCTGCTGGGCTGAGGACTGCTGTTGCTGCTGGGCGTCTTCGTCCATGGTCACGTCGTGGTTGAAGGCGTGCTGCTGCTGTGGCTGTTGCTGGGACTGCTGCTGCTGCTGGGGCTGACTGTACCTCGGAGAACCGTGAACCAGCACGTTTCCTGCAACAGAGAGTCCATACATGTGGTATAAATAACATATCGTCCTCAAAGCGGCCCCTGACCCGCGCTAGTGTGCACGGATGGGTACCAGCCGAGGCGGACGGGTACCAAAGTGGGGCTCCTATCGGCATGGATCGGGTGCACTGCCCGGGGCCCTGATGGTACCTCACAGGGAGAAATAGGGAGGACACTCCAACACGTCGACGGCCGGATGTGGGGGCGCCGCGCTCCAACGAAACGGTCACCTCCGCTTTTGCAAGATGGCCTACGACCACGACCCGTGCGAAACGTAGACCACGACGCACTATGATGCTGTACGCGTCCTGTCCCGTACCCCCCCCCC